TCTTAGATTTGTGTTAGGCTTTGGGAAAATGGTCAGCAAAAGGTTTAATGGGTAAAAACATGCAAAACACCAAGGGGAATGGCTTCACCGTTCAGTCAAGCAAACGCTGACCGAGTATGCAATAATGCCTGCCTTCCTGTCAATTTATTATAACAATTTAATTTGGCGATATACTCACTCCTCCTTCTGACCCTGCCAACGCCAGCCCTCTCTCAGCCAGCCTGCGTGTCAGAGACAGATAGCATTAAAAAGGATTCAGCTGCACTACAGAGATAGAACCCAGTGAATGGAAAAACAACTAGGGAGGAAGAGAGGGAGATGAGACACATTGCACTTTGTATGACAGTGTTTACCTCCTGAGGAGCTGAGCCTCCTCCCTCGTCACCACGCTGTCTGTGACTGCGCGGCCACACTTCTGAGGGGTGCATCCTGGGAGAGAGACGTGTGAGAAAGGATTCGGAAAATAATAATAAAGTTTGTGAGGTACCCTCTGGTTTTGGAGGCTTCGGGCCCCATAGCAGAGAAAGAAAGTACAAGGTAAGGAGTTGATTAGAGTTCTCTCATTAATGCCACAAGATTCAGGGTTTCCCTCCAACCTCTGACGATTATCATTCATCGCTCGAAGCCTGAGCCTCCCGCTGTGTTTTCTTTGCACAGTTTGAACTCTAGAGGCCGGCATGTTTAGTAAGACAAATTTCCAATTTGTACTCTACTTTCTTCCAAGGATGGGCTCAAAAAAGTTTGAAATAAATATCACAGGAGATTAGGCAGACAGCTGTATCCAGTACATTTGGAAACGTCTCCATTCAAGTAAGTTGTGTTTGGAGTTTTAGGGAATCAAGAGTGCTTTGATTCCAGTAAGATAATAAATATTTGACTAGAATAATTCCTTTATTATTCATTTTATATTTCGGTTGATTTCCAGCACATCGGAATGAGCCGAGTTTTGTTGGCCAAATGGAAATCAGCCTCTGTCACCTGACCGTGGCCTGCAGACCTGTACTCACTCTTAAAATGAGCCATTTTGAAATTATTCTGATCAATCTTTATTCTAATCTATTCTGATTAATGCAAAACATTCTCTGCTTTTAGCTTCTCAGGATTTGCTGCTTTTTCGTCTTTTGTGAAAGTCAACTGTATATCTTCTGGTGTTGGACTGTTGGTTGGATAAAACATCTGACGTCATGTTGGGCTAGGAAAAGTAATGCTGCAACGTTTTCACTATTATCTAGGACTCAATAGACTAAACAATAAACGCAGCAAAGGGCCTCAGCCAAGAGTCAGACCCTGGGCTGCTGCAGCAAGGACCCAGCTTTGGTACAGTGGGCTAAATTTAGATTTCTATTTTCAGAGGCTTTTTAACCGTATGAATGTGAGATGTAAAGTTAGAAATGTCACACTTGTTACTGTGTGTGTGTTACTGTGACAAATGTCTCACAGAACATCATCTCTTCTGCACAAAGAAAACAAAATCAATTTCATTAACTATGAGACAGACCAGTTTTACATGTATTTCTCTCCTCACTGATCAGTCTAAAAATACATCATTATATTTCTTATATTTCATTCATGCCAACTGATTAAATGAATTTAAATACTGGTGAACAAACAGGAGTTAAATGACTCCCAAATGAATTTATTTTCATTCTATGCTTCTGCACTGTCTGATATTATAAGATTATAAGCAGCAGATTTCTTTATTTAATAAATGATGAAACTGGTGAGGAGCATTGATAAAAGATGTGTCTGAATGACAAAAGTCTATCACTTTAACATCTTAATGAAGCCAGCAATGGTACGTATCCCTTGTCTGAAATGGGCTTCTGAGCTGGGATTGTTTTGTCTTTTCAACTTTTCAAGGCCAAGAATAAACATGATTATTCATTCATTCATGATTACCTTTTATTTGAGTTTTTATTTTAGACCCTTATTTAAAGTTGAAAAATAACTTTTTATCATTATTGCTAAAATGTTCACAGTGTTCTGACAGTTAGTACGTGAGACAGAAAATCTATGAAAAAATCTGGTTCCTCTGGCTTGTTGTAGCATTCCTAATGGCATTTGCAAGAATCCATCGGGCTTGGAGGAAAACAACCAATCAGAGCCAAGAACAATGTAAATCGGCATTGGGTTGGAAGCTTGAACATAGTTGATTGATGAGTCTCATTCCTAGGGTCTCAAAGCCCAGACACCCTGGGAACACTTTACTATCTTCTTGGCTCTGATTGGTTGTTTTTGTTCAATGCCATTAGGAGCACTAGTAGGAGCTACAGGAACCTGATCTTTTCACAGATTATCTGTCTCATATACTACTGTCAGGATATAATGTAAGTTTCAGCAAATATGACAAAAAGTTATTTTCTATAAAGATTACTTACTGCAGCTTTAAGTTTAGGCTTAACAATATCTACATTTGGGGAAAAACTACATTTTCCAGTCAAGCATCTCTCCCTTCTGACCACAGTGACCTTCCACGGGTTTAAACACATTTCTATGTATGAAACTAACAGGTTAGTATTTGCTGTTCATCACTTTCAGCTTATCTATAGATGAAATATGCAGTCCTACAGTACATATGGTAACATTATGGTCAAGTAAGCTTGTGCTATACTGCCATCTAGTGGATTATTTCCATGCTGTTTCACACTTTTAGGAATCTGGAGACAATGGTTCTTTAGTTAATATAGTATAATATACTATATTTCTATATAATATACTATATTATATTATATAGTATACTATGTTATTTAGCCAATCAGACTTTTAAGTCTACTTTAAGTTCAGTTCTATTGTTTTTTATAATAAAAACAATTCACATAATTCAGTATGATGTTAAAGACAACAAGGTTTTCCAGCTCTTACATCATGTAAAACTACTGAAAGCCAGAGCACAATCCAACACCAGGAACGTGCCACTGGATTAGCATGGTATTTATCAAGTAGGCTTGGCTTTATCTCGTCCCAGCCATGTTTACACAGCAGAGAGGTCAGGTGTCAGCTGACTGCCTGACACAGAACAGTTCAGGGAACAGAGTCTCACCTGGATAGCGTTGGTAGTTCTCGTAGTCTTCAGAGCACTGGACTGTGTAGACTCTGGGCTGGGGAGAGACCAGCTCAGCTCGGCTGACCAATGTTTCTGTAATTTCGCTGTCCAGAGAGGTTATGTAGAGCCACACAGCCGCCCCGCACAGAGTCACTGCTATCAGCAGCAGGGCGACAGGCCCTCGGGACGCCCTCCACGCAGATCCCTGCCGCAGCGCATTACCTCTGACCAACACAGATAAAAGGTCCACGTAATCGAGTGAATTTGACTGACCGAAGTACAGGGTACTTCTGCAGTTGAGTCTATGTGGAAAGATTGTGGACTGGCTCAACTACTTTGAAAAAATGTAAATTATTTGATGATGATCAAAACAAAATATATCCACATATTTGTGTTTGGGAGGAAAATTAAACATCACAATAGGATTACAGATTGGTGTGATGCTTAACTTTAGTAAATATGATAAAGAATAAACAATAAACTACCAGCTATGATACGCCAACTTGGTAGTACACACCTCCAAAAAAACCGTAAAGCCAAGAGTAAAATTAACTAAAAGCAAAAATGGATATATCATTGAAATAGTTGGAGAAAAGTATTTTATAAACAGCTGAAATAATTATCTTAAAGTAATTCATAAACTGTTGAAGTAATTAACTAAATGAAATGTGTAACAGATAAACAAAGTCCAGCTTCTGCCACTCCAAGTGTACTAGTATAAACTCAAACTTGAGAAAACCATCGTAAACACAGAATTCATAATAATGACTAACAACTAATAGATAGTATAGTTAATTATATTTATAAAATCACTATTTTTATAATCATCTGTATTTAATCTCATGCTTTCCAGCATGAAGTTTTGCCTACAATCTCTTACCAACAATCACAATAACTACGATAACTGACTGTCTCATGTTGGCCTTACATAGTGTGTACTATCCCTATACATCCAGGTATTATTTTATTGGCTGGTAAGAGATTGTAAGGTGTTCTCTAGGTGAAAATGCTTTGTAACCACCTCGGCCCTCAGTGTGAGTCCCCACTATGAGGATGCCTGCAGCTAACATGAACAAACTGTTTACAGATTAAAGTAATGGAGTGATGTTAGTAGTACCAGCAACCTCATTCACATACAGACACAGAAGTAGTACTATTTATTTATTTAATCTATTTCTTTCAGCATGTATTTCTTTATTATTTTCATCTATTCATTATTAACTTAAGCTTTTCTTTTTTTTTTTTTTTTATTGCAATGATGTCATTTCTTGTCCTCCATATCACCACTAGGACGATGTGATATTGTGGGACTAGCAGCGATAAAGTGGTAAATAAACGCCAGGTACACTCAAATCAGGGTCACGATATGGTCCACAGAAACACGAATTCAGTATTAATGAATGAATTCGCTTGTTTGTCTCTTTTCCCTGAAGACTAAAATAACATCTTACAATAGCAGCATCGGTTTGGCGGCAATTAAAAGAGCTGCTAGCTAAAGCGTCCACCTCGGTCAGCATGCTGACAGTCCCTGGCTGGCACACCCTCCCCCTCCCCCTCCCCCCTCTCCTCCCCCTCCTCCCCCCTCTCCTCACCCCTCACAGACACAACAGTCGCTTCATTTTCTCCACTTACCTTTTAATCTTCTTCTCTATCTCAGTGGCGTTAGAGCCCTGCGCGTTTCTCTGTCGCAGTAGCACCATTTTGACTCAACTCGTCTGCTGTAGCATTTACAAACCACCGTCATAAACGGTTGTGTCCCTGCCCTCACCGACCCTCACCGACCCTCACCGACCATACCGTGCAACCCGCCAACAGCTTGTACCGCCACCTGAACGTCTCCCCACTTCCTGCTGCGCTCGCATTGGTCAGTCCATTGGCTCCCCGGAAGAGAAAGCAGCGTTTTCATTGGACCACATCCCAGGTCCAATTGAGTTCGGCTGCAACGCACAGCTGCAAAAACAGAGGACGTATGCTACTGCAGGGCTACACCGGGATCATGTGTTTGAAACTCTGCTTTAAGCTTCACAAACTTTGAGCTCTTACGCCCTGTAGCATGTGTTCTTCCATCCATTGCTCTGCCCGCTGAGACTAAATTAATCGATTACCTACACTGCGTAATTGCATTGGAAGGAACGGGAGCGGATAGAGGCGTTTCTAGTGCAGGGAAAGTGATCTACCTCACAACAACATCCTCCTCGCAGTGTCAGTCCTCTCTAATATCCCACCTCGGGTTCTTGCTGGGTCTCTACTGTTCTGGTGAGTCAAACAAAGTATCTAATGTGATATTTATTCACAAACACATGCACACCCGTCGGCTACTGTTCTTAATGTGAAGCTTTATTCATCCCTGCAGTCAGTGCCAGGCAGAATGACGTGTCCACCCTGGCCAAAAGGCAAGAAACTGGTTCACCTGGATTTGAAAGGTGCCCCCCCAAGGGTAGAATACCTTCACAAGGTAAGAGCTTCCTCTGTGGTCCGCTGCAGCACACATTCACACGTCACCGCTTGAATATAGTCATTTATGTTTAATGTCCACCTGATGTGTGTTTCATCTCCTCAGCTCATCGAGCTGTTCTCTGATCTGGGGGTGGATGGCCTGCTGGTGGAGTATGAGGACATGTTTCCTTACGATGGGGAGCTGAAGCTGCTGCAGGCCACAGTTCAGCCTGCTTACAGGTGCATTTTGGGATGTAAACAGCGGACACTGTTATACTATTCCTGATTTATAAGCTGGGTGCAGATCGTTTTTTATCTGCTTTATCGTGCTGTGAGATCCTGTAATAAAATCATCATCCTTCCTGTGCAGGATAGAGATAAAACTTAATGTGCAAGTCTGGTGTGCCATAAAATGCTTTGGGTCTGTAATTTATGTTCTTTTACCATGTGCTTTGTTCGCAGCCGAGAGGAGGTACTATCCATGCAGGAATTTGCCAGATCTAAGGGAATGGAGGTCGTCCCACTTGTGCAGACATTTGGTCACATGGAGGTGAGGAGAAACATCCTGTTCTCCTGCTGTAACAGCTACAAATGGCCAGTTTTCACATGGTGTTTGTCCCCATTGTCACCGTCCCTTCTCTATCATAGTTTGCATTGAAGCATCGGCCCTTGTGGAGCCTGAGAGAGGTGCCGTACTGCGTGGGCACCCTGAATCCCCACAGAGAGGAGGGCGTGAGGCTGGTGATGGAGATGCTGAGGCAGGTGGTGAAGCTGCACCCGGGCTTGAACACGCTGCACATCGGAGCAGATGAGGTAAGGTAATAGTCTTTTGTCGACTCGCTGTGGGTAGAAAGTATCGCCAATTCTCTCGTGCCCTCGCCCCTGATTCCTCCAGGTGTACATCCTCGGCGAGGGGGAGGAGTCCAAACTGTGGCTGGCCTCGCCCGGACGTACAGTGGAGCAGCTTTTCCTGAGTCATGTGACCAAGGTGGCCAAGGCCATCAAGGAGGCGTGGCCTCACATGACCATCATAATGTGGGATGATATGATGAGAGGCATGAGCCAGGACATACTGAAAGGTGAGGGAGAAATGGAGTTGGTTCCCACAGAACCAGGAGATCACTGATCACTCTGATCTCTCTGCTTTATACTTCTACTCAACTACATTTCAGGGAACATGTTGTACTTTTTACTCCATTACATTTATCTGATACTTATAATTACTAGTTACTTCATAAACTGTATATACAAAACATAATCAAATCAGATAGGATGCATTGTTACAGTACACACTACAACAATAAAATGCTACTGTTAATACTTTAAGTACATTTTGCTAATGATACCCACATGCTTTTAATTCCATCCAGGACATGTAACATGTAATGTATGTAACAGATATTTTCAGTGTGATATTGCTAATTTTTCTTAACTAGAGTATTTAAATGCTTCCACCACCACTAAGTGTAAATGGAGGGATGATAAACGTAATGGAATGATAATAATAACAGCTATACACACAATGTGTCTCTTGAGCTGACCATTTTCATTCACAGCTAGCGGTCTAGTGGGACTGGTCCAGCCTATGTTGTGGGACTACACCCCAAGTCTGGATGTGGACAAAACTGGTAGGAACGGCATATTTTGTAAATCTGTATTGAGGCATCAGGCTCTTCTACATTATGAAATATGTCTGCAACATGCACAGAGCTTTGTTAGTCGTGATGTGTGTTCTCTAACTGTGTTGTCCAGTGTCTCTGCTGGAGAAGTACTGCAGTGCCGGTATGTCAGACCTGTGGGTGGCCAGCTCCTTTAAAGGCTCCACCAGTGTTTACACCTGTGTGCCCAACACACAGAGACATGTGGATAATCATTTGCAGTGGCTGAAGGTGGCTGCGTCTGTATCTGCTGGTGTAAACCTGCAGGGCATCGCCATCACCGGCTGGCAAAAGTAAGTAGTAGAGGAATTTCTTAGTGTTTTTTTGTTTTTTTTTTCTTCATTGGTAGAGTAGATGACTCCAGAACTGTGTGTGTTGCTGATAGAAGTGAATGTGTAAGCTTTCTGTTGAACCTAAAGTATGGCTATATTAGACAAAGTTGCAGATTCCTTTTGTACACTGTGTACTGTATGAATGTGAAGCGGCTGCCCTTTGGTGGCTCCAGCACTTGAATCTGTTAGGGTCTGAAGGACTATATTAGTCAGAAATCATGTAATGTTACATCAGAAACCATTTTTTCACATGGTCCATTATTTTCCCGCTCTCAGGTATGACCACCTGTCGGTGCTGTGTGAGCTCATGCCCTTGGCGCTTCCATCACTAGCAGCCTGTCTCCAGACACTGAGCCATGGTCAGTTCAGCACTGAGGCTCAAGGCAAAGTAACTGAGAGACTGGGTATTTGCTCAGTGGAGGTAGAGGCCATGGGGAGGTGAGGTTCGACACTGTTTTATGAACTACACTGTTACTGTATAGAATATATGGATCCTCGTGGTTAACAGGGTTTTGTTCCATCTGGCCTTCAGGACTTCTGCAGGCGACTCGCTGTTCCCAGGAAGGAGGCTGGCTGAGTTAACTGTGGAGCTCAATGCACTGCTGAACTCAGAGGACATACGAATGTTTGAAAATGACATGTGAGCTGCCATCACAAGATTTTATTTCCTGTGTCTTTTCCAGCTTAAAGGAATAGTTTGACATTTTAGTAAATGTGCTAATTTGCTTTCTTGTCTAGAGTTAGATAAGCTAAGCTTAACAGCTGCTGGCTGTAGTGTAATATTTGTGTGTACAGACATGAAAGTGGTGCTCTCAGCAACTTTTGCTTTAATCTTTGCGGGAATAAACATTTTTTCCTTTCCTTCCTTTTTCTGTATTTCTGTGTATAAATAACAGCTGAATAACTTTATGCCTGTGCTACTGTAGGTTTGTAAGAGGATGGTTCAGCCCCTACCACCGACGGACAAAGCTGGTAACCCCTCTGATCACCATGCAGATTCACAGCCAAGCATCAACGTGAGAATAATGGACCTTTTTCACAGCATTCACTTTGACCTGAAATAGTAGGGTAAACACAGGTGTTACTAATAATACTATTGTAAAGTTCCTTTCTGTTTAGTGTAGCAGAGCCTTTCCAGTAAGCCAACATGCACAATAGCAGCACCTGACTCTGTTTGAACCTTAATTACCCTACTATTTCATGTCAAAATGGCTGCTGTGAAAAAGGTCTATTTGTTATTTTTCAGAAACATTCTCTGCACACTGCCTTGCCTCGCAGAAGAACTCGTTTAGCCATTGACAGAAACCCTATCTGATCTCGTCCCCTCAGGTTTATAACTACACTACAACAGAAGGTGGAGGCTGTGAGAGAGGAGATGGTGCGTCTTTACCCAGAGTCAACAGCCCAGGAGTGGATAGAGGAACACGTCAGCCCTGTATTGGGCCCTTTACAGAGGATAACAGAGGAAATCAGAGCCTGCGTCAAGGAGATGGTGCCATAGAATATTTTGCTAGCTCAGAATCAAATTGCTTTTTTGATGAATTCCAATACTGGTCTCTTAATTTTTATGTGAGCAGTGCTGAAATGAACAGGATTTTATGTGTAATTTTGCAGTTTTCTGTCGTATACAAATTGCACTGATTGTAACAAAGAAAGGAAATAATATTAAAAGAGGACATTGGGTTTACATATAAAACATCTTTATAGAACGCCTGCAAATGTATCAAAGTAAACAAAAAACAATAAAATCAACCTACAAAAGTACTTCTCATTTTCTTTCAAGCAGAACGGAACACACTGGCATTCACCGTCAGCCATTACACAGCCCTGATTCAAAACACTTTTCAGAAAAAAATAGTTTGACCCAAACACAAAGTTTCTGCCTGAGATTCAGTCTTTGGTTCACAAAAAGTATACAAATGTCAAAAGACAGAACAGCAACAAGTCAGAGCATTTCACACACAATCGCTATTGACTGAGCCATGAAAATCATTCATGCTTGATTACGGTTTGCACATGCATTCATCTGGAATGCACACTGGGTATGAAAAAACATGCAAAAGGTGATTATCAACTGGGTGGTCCAGGAAAATGTGGGGAAAGCATTTTCCATTGACACACACATAAATACTTATTAGAGTTCAGTAGGAAGGCACAGTTAAGCTGTAATCTGAAAGTGTATTCTCAAACAGTAATTAGGTAAAAAGAGTAAGGCGTGATATTCATTTGCTGAGAGATACATTTACAGTGCAATGAAAGATTTTCCTGCAACTGTTTTAGAAAAGTTGGACAAAATTATGAAATATTTGCATAACAAAACTTTTAATTTGATAATTTTTCCATCCCAGTGCACATGAAAATTACATTTAAAATGTTTCTCTAGGCTTCCATAACCCCACCTGACATAAAAAAAAATACTAGAAAGGAAAGAGTGTATATCCTTGGTGTTACATGCACATGCTAACAGTATAACATGTAGTAAGGGCATCACTAAAACTGCACCCTCAGTAATTTTTTCTTTGCGAAGCCATGATGCCCCCAATTCAATCCACCCAAAGTTACAGCAAGGTTCCAAGTCACAGAAAGATCAGAGTTCATCTGCTTCATCATCCGAATCACTGCTGTTGTCCAAAGAATTCTCCTCCTCTTCCTCCTCCTCTGCATACTCTGCCTCTTCCTCCTGCTGCCTGCGTTGTTGCAGCTCTTCCAGCCCCAGGAAGCGCTTCAGCAATGCAGCCACTGCCTCCACGTCACTGAGGGGTAACAGACGCAACAGAAGAACGTTGATAGAGTTCTGGTCTAACAAGCTGCAAACAAAACTCTGAAACCTTGTCCACCTTATCACCTTGTAAAGCTGACATAGTGAACAAGTAAGCAAATATTACACATAGAGAAAACACAAAGCAACATTAGCATTCCTTTTGACTCGTGTTTCTGGCCACCTGATTCATGTAAGTGCAATATTCACTCTCTTTCTAGCTCTGTTTTTGTCTCTACCAGGTATAAACCCACCCTGACATCACCCACTGGTGTGTGCACAACCTTTATAAAGCCAGCATTTTAGCATTATGGTTATCGCCATGTTGTTTTTTGGAGCCAGAAGTGACCATATTTGGACAACAGTGTGGAGCTGGTAGGGGACATACTGGCTGCACTTAGTTTTGCTCCGTTTTCAAAAAAATGGCAGCCTAGTCACAAACTTTCTCATATTACAGCTAAACATTTCTAAATTCAAATATGTAAGGAAGAATATATGGGAAATAGGCAATGCAGTTACAAATTCTTGATTCATATTTGTTGAGTACTGCCTAGTTTGACAGTTTTGTGTGTTGCACTGGACGGACAACCTAGAATAACTTTTCAATTCAATTCAATTTGTATAGCGCCAATTCACAACAGAAGTTATCTCAGTACACTTAGGTAGCGTACAGTGAGTTTATTAGAGCTTTTTGACTGAAACACAAGGCTGATGAGAGCCGTCAGAGTGACCCAAAACATTAAAGATGCTAGTAGTAAGTGATGAGCTCAAAGAGGTAGAAATGCTTTGTACAGCTGAGGAGAACAGTTGGGTGGTTATTATATGTGGGTTTCTTACAACGAGAGATACCTTTTACATTACACATAGTCATCTGACTCATTGATAACAATAATAACAATAATAATAATAATAATTTTTGTTTGGCCTTTTTATTGCCTTTAATTGACAGTAACAGCTGGCGATAGACAGAAAAGGGGGTAGAGAGAGGGGACCGACAAACGGGTAATTTCAAAATGCAAATACGGTGAATGGCCACTGCTGAGGAGGACATATAGAACTAAAATTAAAACTAAAAATAAACTTTTAAGTGTTAGAACTGTCAGCAGCAGATACCCACCTGCGTCCCCCCAGTGTGGCACTCTGAGTCAGGGGGTAGGAGAAGCCTGCAGCCAGCCGCAGTATCAGGAGGTAGCCCTTCCCCAAATAGCGAACCTTCTCTTCCTGGACGCAGATGTCACACAGCTGTGTCAGATCCAACACAACTGAGAGAGAGAAAGGGGAAAATAAGATTTAAGATCTAATATTTTGCACTCTCAAACAACTACTGGAGGCTACAGTGCTGAGTAACCCACTCTGCAGTGTTACTGACCTTTCTCTTGCCCCTTCCTCCATAACGTCAGGACCAAAGCATACAAGCTACAGCTCTTGAGCTCGATCAGGTTCTTGGTTTTGTCGAATACAGCCTCCTCCCATTCCTCCATGTTCTGCATGGCTACAAACAGACAGCCAGTCACGTAGAAAAGCTTCCACAAGATGCTGTCTGTGTGATCCGCACAACACATAAAATACAAGAGAGCGGAATGAGATGCAGTAAGCAAATGTGGACAGTAATCATTGTGGCAAACTTACTAATAGATTATGTAAATTCAGTTGGTGCACCTGAGCTGTAGTATGCAGCTGCCAACCCAACAGACCCTATACCTGCAATTTAAATGAGATGCTTATTATTTTAGAGGAAATACAGGGAGAGAGCAGAGGAGATTTATTACAGAGTTTGAACACATTGAGGGGATAGTGCAAGGCTTAGTTTGGGATATTTATTTCATATTTGAATGTACAGATTGTATAAACACGCACACTTACCGACAAGAAGAGACCAGGAACGAATGCCCGGGGCCCTCTTCAGGTGGAGCAGGGTGCCGCTGTGCTCCTCTACTGTCATGTATCCCATCTGAACAGAGGCAAGAATATCAATGTAGTACTTCATACCTATTAAAAGCCTATTTTACATGACCATAATACCCATACCATAAAGGGACAGTTATAGGGCTAAAAGCACATGAGTTTTTGGTAACAGTATCTGCCTTATTACCTAATCTTAAAGGACCAGTGTGGAGGATTTAGTGGCCTCTAGTGGTAAAGTTGCAGATTGCAACCATTTGAATACAGTCCAGCCCTCCAAGAGTTGTACTATATCAAATGCACAATTTATTTATTAAATTATATTATTTAAAGTGGAAATTCACAATTGGTTCGGGCTCGCACAGAAATTTAAACAAAACATTTTTACTTTTATTTTGTAATGATCACTTACCCATTATTAGTAGGGAAAGCAAGTGTCTCTAATAACACAATGATACATACAATACAATGGGAATCACAAATACCACACAGTATATCTAGGCCCATGTAGAAAAAACTGTATACAAGGCACAGAGAATGGGAGTAACAGGGAGACAAAAGTACCCCATCCCTAACAGGTTAATCCAGCCATGCCCTGTCCAGAAACAATGTCCCATTTACTCTGATGTTCTGAGGATTGTCCATGGTAGCCAGGACATTGTTCCTGGAGAGACACGGTGCAGTTTTGACATTTTTCAGTCCTTCAGCAGCAGCAGAAACGATTCACTATTCACCTCCATTATAATGGGGTGGGGGCAGAAGTCTCAGGGGTATTTATAGTTCAACACATAAAACTCAAACTATCTACATGGCTTCATGACATAAGAGGTAAGAGAGATTTTAGTTTATTGTTTTGTTATTTGGGTGAACTGACCCTTTAAATTTATTTTAAAAAAGACAGATGCTCCTGTTGATGATGGGGATCGGATGTGATGGATAACGACAGCCCACACACATCACTGTCCCACCACAATAAAGACACAAACCATGAGACATTTTCTATCACTTACCTTAGACTCTTCTTTCCTTCTCTAAATCGCCTTACAGATTTCGCAAAAGAGCATTTGTACGAGGAAACACATGCACTGAATTATAAGGAAGTTCTTTTCATTTTATTGCAACAACAACTGCCCCGAATGGGTGACACTTCCTTCCTGGATCGGTCTGTTCTGATTGGACGGGTTAAACTTCACGCTGCCTTCAAAATAAAAGCTTAAATGCATCAATTTAAGAGAAAATGATGTATTTGTATGCATAGTATGTTTACTACGCAAGAATTTTTTTTTTTTTGCAGGACAATACCATTTTACAAACAAAATGTCTTTGCTTTTTTGTAGAACTTGGCTTAACTCTCCTATTATTTTGACAATAACCACTTTTAGTCACATGCTTTGAAAAATCCACCGAGGAAAGCTTTCCGCGCGTGGTAAAGGAGACATTTCCAGACCTATTTTTGAGTTTTAAACTCCATCATATTCTTTTAACGTTGTGCCGCGACAAACTGAAGACGACCATCTTTTTAATAACCCATCAGCCAGTTTGAGAAAAAAAAAGCTTTTGAAAATCAAAGCTTCCGGAGCAGAACACTAATTCGTTTGCGCATGCGCTCTGGATTTAACCGGGGTACACAATGGAGTCGGACGTACATAGACATAACTGGCTTGAATATTAAAACCCCCGACGCCTCTGAAACCACTAGTTTGTATATTGTGAGATAACCGAGCAGGTTATTAAAGCGAGCAGTGGCCCACCGCCCACCGCCCACATACGACCTGACCTGAGACCAGCTGAGTAACCGCTGGGTTCACCTGCTGTGTATCAGAGCTCCTGTCTCCTCCTGCCTCCTCCTGTCTCCTCCTGCCAGTGGCTGCTCCTCTGACTGTCCTCTGCGTTTGTTCCATGTCTTTGTTTGAAAGAGCAGTGAAATAGAAACCGTCCGGTGAGTTACCTTAAAATTCGACCTTGTAATGCTAACACAGGGCCTGTCATGTTAAACCAGCTCCCAGTAACAAACACATGACTGAAGTCGGTCGTAAGGCCTCAAACGCATCAGCATTTTCTTCAGTGGCATTAGCTAAAATGAATTCTACGTATGCTAGCTAATTACACATTGCGTAATAAAGTATTGATATTGTTAGCTAGACGTGGCTGAAATTATAAGAAGCTATAATAAAATACTCACTACTGAGTCGACATTTTTCGCATTTTACATCATGGGAGAGATACTTATTGTGTCCATAATATATGTGGGGTTTAAAGGATGATAGCTTCCAGCCCATACTTGTCTTTTTTCCCCCTCATGCGAACATAATGTGATGTAATGGCCCTCCGTGGCTGTTGTTCTTGGCACTGTGTATATAATTAACGTTAGCCATTTAACTTTTAATGACAGGATATTAGTTTGTGTTCCTTGCCAGTTTCCCACCATTATTGTGTTCATGATAAGCCGGCTGCTTGTGTGATAGGACAGGGGGACAGGGGGACGGCCGAGAGGAGGGTGGAGTTGACAAAACAACACAGTCACCATGTCAGTGCTTCAGAGGGAACATGCTGTGAGGAAACTGATCAGCACTGTCAGCACTGGGAAGCTAATGGTGCTGATGTCTCTATGTGTATATATATCGCCCTCCATTTACAGATAACCGCCAAGGAAAATGTCTGAGGTCAACATAGCAAAGCGCAAGGAGAAGTGTGAGAACTGCACCAAACAGGTGAATTTCTGGATCTGTTCTCTTGTATATCAGTCGTCTCTCTTACACATGCAGAATTGTTTAAAAAGCTTCGTCAGTGGTGAGTTTAATTACTGATCTGCCACACACAGTGCAACAAGAAGCAGGGTGATGATGGCGCCAACTCACACCAGGAGAGCGATGAAGTCAATGGACAGGTAATGTCTGTTTACTCACCTTTTTTGTTTGTTCTTGATTGATCTGGCACATTGCTCATCAGGTTGCTTATTAATCTCCCATTCAGACAGTTGTGTTATGTCTTCTGCTGGTCTGAAGGAGATCTCAGCATCTGGGGATTTTTAAAATCAAATTAGTTGCTTGAACAGTGGCGAGAAAAGCTGCTTACAAACGCACGCCTCTTACTTCAAGGGCACGCCTCACCTTAATCAATGCTCCCCCCACATTCTCCTCCGTAGTGACACAAACTGGAAATATAGCAAATTGCTTTGTATAACGAAAATAACTTTTTATGACATTGAAAATGGATATTCCCAGCAGCCTTAAATTGTACAGTCCTGTTTACAAGTACATGTCTCTCATTGTTTCCACCCAGTTTTAGCAACCAAAGCTGGGAGAAATGCTGCAGTTTCTGCTGAGGAAAGCGTTTAGAGGTCTAGACTGTATCACAGCTTGGCTTAGAGACTATAAAAATTTGCTATTATGTTGCATTATGGGCAGTGTAGGATCCAGTGAAAAGTCAAGACATCTCAACCTCTGATTGAAGCCATTTAAAGTGTCTCTTGTGAGTAATGGAGAAGCTGGAGTACCCTAACAAAATGTTAAATTAGTCTCATTTATTTATTTTACTTTATTAATCCACAGTGTATTTCTTTACTCAATGTTTATAAACACATAGGCCCAAAATACAATCATGCTCAGGGCTTTTTTTTTTGTTGTTTTGTTTGTTTTGGGCCATCACATAGCGGCACTCTGGGAGCAGTTAGGTGCCTTGCTCAAGGGCACATCAGCAGTGCACAGGAGGTGGAACTGGCACCTCTCCAGCCGCCAGTCCACACGCCATCCTGTGGTCCATGCTGGACTTTAACTGGCAACCTTCTGGTTCAAGCCAAATCCCTACAGACTGAGCTACTGAGTTAAAACACTCATTTATTTTTTCCCCCCCTTAAGGTGCATGAAGGATCCCAGTTGCTGCTGAGTGCCTGTCTGTCTTGTGATGGCTGCCTAACAGAGGAGGAGAGCCTGAAGATCTCTCAGCAGAGCCTGCAGGAAGTGGAACGGGTTCTGGCACTCAATAAGGTATGACGAGCAAAACAACCAGCCTCTGAAACCTGAGAAAGTCAGGGAGTTGCCTTGTAATACTTTTGAACTGTACATGTGTCTTACATTGCTCCCATTGTTCCTCTGTCCCTGTCAGAAGTGTGACGTGTCGAAGCACAAGGTGCTGGTAGCGTCCATTTGTCCGCAGTCTCTGCCTTTCTTTGCTGTTAAGTTTGGTCTGGACGTCACTGAGGCCGCCCACAAGCTCTGTGGCTTCCTCAAGAGTTTAGGTGAGCAAGTGGGATTCAAATGTCCTTGTTTAGCTGCATTTGAGGTCTTGTTACATTTTGAAAAAAGTAATTTATTTATCTGCATGACCACTGCAAGGTTTACCCTGATCAGATTTAGGATGTCACTAAGCAGTTGAATTTACTACATTGTTCTTTTACATTTTGTGCTTCATAATGTTATCGGCTTCACAAGCAGAAATTTACATTTACATTTTTTTTATTTCAAGTTGTAGTTGCCACTTTGCATTTAAAAAAGCATTCAAGTTTCAGACATTTAGCTTCCTGAGACGTTTCTTTATTACTGGTGTGTAGAAACTTCCACCGACTCATCGGTATCTATCATGGACGCTCGACATTCTCCTCTTCTGGTGGGCGCTCCCTGTGCCTCTGTCCCTGTTCTCATCTCTCTGGGTTTTCCCTGCAGGAGTGCAGTATGTGTTCGACACCACTCTGGCGGCTGGCTTCAGCATCTTAGAGAGCCAGAAGGAGTTTATTCAGAGGTACCGAAGGAGGCACCATGACACCCACGCCATGCCCATGTTCACCTCCTCCTGCCCAGGTAAAACTACTTTCCTCCTCACCATATTCTCCTCTCCCTCACTTCACTTTTTTATTCCCCTCCTGTCATGCTGATTTTCTTTCCAACTGAACCTTTTATTTGCCTCAATTTCCATCTTTTTTGCCTCTTTCTTCTGCTGCTGCTCAGCCTCCTGACTGCACAGACAGTTAATGCATGCTGTGTGCTGAATATGGGGAGACTGAGCTTGTTGTAGAGTTGGAGATAGCAGTGGTGTGCTGGTGGAGAAAGATAGAAAAGCTCTCTCACCACTCCCTTCATCACAGATAGGAACAGAAAGAGTTAAGGACTTTCATTTCCTCTATGGAACAAACTTCACACTTTGCATTCATTCAGTCTGAAGGATTGCCACTGACAATGTGTGGCTTTGCTCAGCCCCAGAAAAGGAACTTGCTGGGTGAAGTGGGGTGTGATAAAAAGTTTGGATAATTATTATATGTCAGAAACCTGTTCATCACATTTTCCAGAGCCAAAGGTGACATCTTAAATGTCTGTTTGCCAGTCCAAAACCCAAAGATATAGAACATTTATTATGTTGAGAAAAGCAGTGAATTCTCACACTTGTGAAGCTGGAAACTGAGAAATGTCGGCGGGTTTGCTTAATAAATGACCTGACAATGAATTGATTATCAAAACCAATCGTTTCAGCTCTAAATGATTGCTTGTTGATTGTGATTTTCAGCCCAACGGTTGTGGAAACCAGACTGTTCATTCAATAATAATATTAGCCGATCAGGAAGGAATAAAATATTTGTCATATAAATTAATAAAGCTTTGAATGTTAAACCTGGGACAGCTCCATCACCATTTATAATGTATGTCTGTATACTTGTTGTCATGTATGTTTTTTTCTATGAATGAAAACATCTGATTCTGGAGTGCAGAGGGTCAGGGGTTATTTTAACTCTTTGTGTGTGTGTGTGTGTGTGTGTGTGTGTGTGTGTGTGTGTGTGTGTGTGTGTGCTGTGTGTGTGTGTGTGTGTGTGTGTGTGTGTGTGGTGTGTGTGTGTGTGTGTGTGTGTGTGTGTGTGGTGTGTGTGTGTGTGTGTGTGTTTACAGGGTGGATCCGCTATTCAGAGCGTGTTCTGGGCAGTTTGGTCACCCCTCATATCTGCACAGCCAGGTCTCCTCAGCAGATCATGGGCTGTCTGGTTAAAGACTACTTCTCTAAACAGCAGGTGAGCAGCCCCTGAACAGAAATCTGAGGGGAGTTCAATATCACTTCAAATAAAATCCCATCTGAGTCATTTTATATTGAGTGTGTGCCGATAAAAAACCAAACCTTCTATAATCTTTTTTTCTTTTTCTAATTTCTCTTTTGTTGCTGCCTGGAGGGAGTTTCTCTCTCCAGTGTTTGGTGCTTCAGTGCAGTGTTTACCTGACCTGTTTATTTCCATCGTCTCCACATCCTTTGCATGGATTACACTTACATTCCTGTACCCTCGGGTTGAATCATTCAGTGTTCTGGTTAGTATAGAGGCGTAGCTGTCCTTAACTAAATAAAGACAGTGAGATGTGTTTGCCAGTTGGCTGTGACAGGTGGTAATCCACTAGTGAAAGCTGAACAATGTGAGTGGAAAATTCATAACGCACCACACCCAATGAATGCAATGTTATGACTATCCATAGTGTTAATGTGCTAATGGCGGAATGGATGGTCGGGTATTGAGATCTGAAGTGAAAAGAAGACTCAGTCACACATGCTTCTGTATAAGGAGGAATGTGCCTTACTATGTTGTTTGTCCCTTTGCCTTGTCTCCCGGCAGAAGCTGAGTCCAGAGAAAGTCTACCACGTGTTGGTGGCTCCCTGCTTTGATAAGAAACTGGAGGCTGTCAGAGAGGAGTTTTACAACAGCCTGCTAGAGACCAGAGATGTGGACTGTGTCCTCACCTCAGGTTCAGTCTTCTGTTTCTTACTCACTGTTGACCTGGGGCAAATGGCATTTGAAAATGTTTACTAGTTTGTTTGAACCCTTAGGTTATGTTAAATACAGCTTTTAATATTATTATGAGGTTTGGTGTCTCTGAGACTCCTGATGTTTATATACAGTAAGAAGATACTAATGATAGTACAATACATTCTGTCATTATACAAGATTGTCATCTTAAATGACCAGTTATCATAAAACCTTCACAGTTTATTTATATAGCAGTCTCCGCTATTTAATGTAGCATATGGTAGCTCCAAACCCCAACAACACATACAAGCCATAAATAGCTAAATATAATTCTGAGAAATCTGTTTGTGTCAAGATCCATTTGAGACAGACAGCAGCTCACACCTGGCACCACAATGCACCTCACAGCGAGCATCCTGGTCTGGTTTTGCTTCCTCATTACATTTGCTTTTATCTGTGGTGAAGCTGCATCTGCTGCTAAGAAATCTGCTTCACTTACCGGGCATATATGCCTGGGTTCAGATTTTCGAATCTGCCCACTCCACCGAGTTTACTGATTATCTGATATCAGGCAACTGCTAGAACACAGAATCATCCATAAGTCGTGTGTTTTAAACTACCTTTGTTATCACATTTTGCATTTAATTGGATCAACAGTAAACATACATAACACACAAGTGATCACACAGATCCTGCTCATCAGGCACAAAGACAAATAATGTTTTGGTCTCAGTAACACCTACCACTTAGTAGATATCAGTAGATAACAGTGGAAGTGTTCTGTGTTTCAGGGGAGATCTATTGCCTGATGGAGCAGAGGAAGGTTTCAGTGGAGGGACCGGACTCAGTTCCACTGGACCATGTGTAAGTAGTTGGATTAGTTGTCATGCTATCATTAATTTTTGGTCAGAGATTAAACATTTGAACCTTTAGATTGAACTTAAATTAATATTACTCTCATGTAGTAACAACTTCAGTGATAGTTTGTTTAAACATTCAATAAATTTGACTCAGCAGCTATTATACTTTCCACACAGATCAATGGTGCTGTGATTGGTCCTGTGCTATTCTGCAAGGAGTGCATGGCACTTAGACAAATATCATATCAGTCACTTCAGGATTTCCCAGGCTTTTTGGGGATTGTTGCGGCCCTTAAACGCTTGAATTAACAGCAGCTTTTCTGAAAAATGGCAATTCATGTTGCAGTCTTCTTAGGCACTTTTTCTTTGCAATGAAATTGGTTTGGAAGTCGTTGTCAGAGTCACCTGTGCTGTCACTGCAGGCTGGGAGAGGCTGGAGACGTGGCGCTGGTGAGGCACGAGGGCCGAGGTTCTGAAGGCTTCCTGGAACACATCTTCAAACATGCAGCCAAAGAGCTCTTTGGTCTGGACGTCCATGAGATCACATACAAGAACCTCAGGTGAGGCCCACTGGGACCCTGAGACTTACTCTGGTGGCTGTAGTAGCTGTAGCTCCCAAGTCCAGTCATCCATACCACACTTTTTACCCCCCAGCTCTGTCTATCCTCATGTATCTCTATTCGTCCAGCGTGAAAACTCTCCTCCGGTGTGTCATGTTGGTTTCTTTAGGAACCGAGACTTCCAGGAAGTAACTCTGGAGCGGGATGGGGAGACTCTGCTGCAGTTTGCTGCTGTCTACGGTTTCAGGAACATCCAGACTCTGGTTCACCGGATGAGAAAGGGGCGGGTGCCTTACCAGCTGGTGGAGGTGCTTTCCTGCCCAGGAGGTAACACCACCACTCAACACGATTTTAAAGATACTGATTGTTTGAGAGTTAAATCCCGCCAGTCCTAGAGACTTCACGTGAAAGGACCTGCTGGTGTAAGCCCTTTTTTGTGTCTCCGATGTGTCCACTCAGGGTGCTTGAGCGGTCGCGGGCAGGCGGAGAGCGAGGCGGGAGGCCGGGTGGATAAAGCCCTAGTCCAGCAGATGGAGGAGGCGTACAGCAGCTTGCCAGTCCGTCTCCCGGAGGTCAACCCCGCCCTGCACACCCTCTATCAAGACTGGCTGCAGGGCCAGGACTCCTCGCAGGCCAGTGCACTCCTGCACACCCAGTACAGAAACCAGACTCAGAGCCACACGCAGCCCCCACACATGCAGTGGTGAGGAGAAAAAGGGGTGTTTTTACTCTGAGGACATGATGGAAGTTGAGTGGTTGCCGCCTCTAGCATTTAATCTGATTCTGCTTGGACCGTCTCATCGATCATGTCGGCACCATAAAGGACCACAGCAATTCTTCCATTTGGCCACAGGGGGGCGATGTCTGTATTTAAAACTTGTGGATCTCCCGTGCCAAACCTGAGCCTGAGGACAAACGTGCAGTAACACACACTTTCTTATCATTTTATGCAGACTGAGGCAGTGATGTCATTACACTGCAGATAACGGGAACATTACAGGAAGTCTGTAGCAAACTACGTGAACTATTTATGTGCATTTACAGAGCAATAAGCCACTGAGAAAGCGTAGAACAACTGGAGCTCATGAAGGGAACATGCGGATGCTGAATGTTGAGGAGTCCAATATAACCTGTCCATTATGAAACCTGCTTGTGTTAAAGGTTGTCTCCACTGTTCCTCCCTGAGAGACACCGGTTGATCTCAAACACATTGATAACTATGCAACAGTGCGACCGTCTTATCTCAGCCGTCCTAGTCAATGGAAAGTAAGGCTGCTGCTTTATGATTCAAAGGTTCAAAGTCTTTCTAATAACCCGACAGTGTTGGCTTATGTGTAACTACCAGCCCAGTGTGTGGTTGATCCGTCCCAGTGAAGAATCAAGAGTAATTATTTTTTAAATGGTACAAGATGCTTTCATTTGTATTATCACTTTGTTCCCATTCCACAAACTCGTCATTTTAAGTTATGTTGTTTTTCCTTCTTTGTTTTACGAGATCAAACATACATGTTAATGAAGCACTAAAATCTTCTGACGATTGAAGTGTTGTCTCATTTCATCGTAGAGTGTGTGTGGATTAACCCGTCGTTCATGAACAGAGGCAGAACCTTTGGAAATGTGTGCTACTGCTAATCCACAAAACAGTTTTTAATGTTAAAACTAACTTGTCAAACGGAGGTCTGTGGATTGTCCAGCGTGTTTTTCCAATGCTGTGAGCTCCACTGATGAAACTTCATTGTGATATCCCAAAATCTTAGGGAATTTAAGCAGAACTGCTCACATGATGAGATATAATGAAGGTTTTTTTTTTTGTTTTTTGTCATTTGATTGAAACCTTTTAAAAGTGTTTCATGTGTACAGTGTGCAAACCATAGTGCTGTACAGTTAATTTATTGATGCAAAATTAAAGTCTAATTTAATCGTTTTTTGTTAATCAAACTGCTGAAATGATTTATGGTGTAAGGATGTTAATCCCTGCTTCTCAAATGTAAAACCTGTGCTGCTTATATCACTGGGAATGGAATATCTTTGGATTTTGGAAATCAAGCAATTTGAGGACGTCACCTTGGATTGTTGGAAATTTAAATTGGCCTTTATTTGACTAGTAAAAACAATGTTTATTTGTTTTGATCCCCATTAGCTTCCACAGAGTGGTTGTTGGTGTTACCGGGGTCCACACAAAGCATTAAAACCACTTGTGCAACACTGGAGAAAGGTGCAAACAGCTCATCTGGTTCTGCCAGAAATTCTAAACTTTCCCTACCCATCCCTCCAGTTTCCAGCTTTTTAATCTGAGCAAAGGAATGTAATTCATTGTTGTTGTGTTCAAGGAGGTGCGTGCTGTTGTTTTGGGCTAACGGCCGCAGTGTACGTTGAGTTCCTGGAGTATGATTCACCTTGAGGCTGGCAGATGCCCAAAGAGACTAACAGACATTTCCAGTGAAAATGCTACAGAGGCCAGTACTAACTTGTTTGTAGACGTGATGCCACCGGATAAGCAGTGCTCACTGTCCTGTATTATACCTATGACAAAAATACACATTTTCACCTAAGACTGGGAGTATTATTCCGAAGGATATTTGGCATGAATAGATAGATTTTGATTTAACCGCCACAGTTATCCATAATCGTCGCTGATGCATTGTGTTCTCAAGGAAAGAATAAAGAAGAATCAATCTGGCTGCTCTGTTCTGCACGGTTTTTATTAATATTTCCCATCAGACACCAAGTGATCAGTCTAATCAGTACAAGATGTAATGCCTACTAATGCTTTTAATCAATACACAAATTGAGCTGGGTGGCTTTAGCAAGAAGATCCCTCCACCTGAAAACATTAGCTATGGCAGCTAATTTCCTCATTCAGCCGTTCAGCTTTGGTTTTGAGATTAATACACATGCACATTCTCTTTCAGCTCTTCTCAAGATCCATATGTCCTTCTTCATGGGGTTTACCTGCTGCTCAACTCTCACCTGAACCCCCCCCCCCACCAATTGTGTCAACAAGAAGAGTCCTATTAACACACCATAGTATTTGCTCCCAACGCTCTGAACTCACCTGAAACAAATGATTAATGAAAATTAAATTTTTATGAGCGGTTATATGCACTCAAACTCATATTTGACCTTCTGCCCCATTTGGAACAACATTTTCTCCTCCTCCCTTTCACCATCTCTGACTTTCCCTTTTTTCCTACCTCCGAGCGTCATTCTCTTTCATCTCTTTGTTCCTAGCAGATGGAAATACCCCCCAGGTGTAGTGCGTTGGTTGGCAGGTGGATCTTTAAAAGGCATCTTGTGTTTTTCTGGAGTCATTCACCGATGTTCACGTCAGACAGAAGCACTCTACGGGGTAAGTAGCTCTCTGTGTGTGAATGTTTATTCAGAGTGTGTGTGAGGCTGTGTCTGTTTGCCTCTCTGCACTTGAGGTGCGTAATCGTTCACTCAGAAGCTCAATCGTGCTTTTATCTGACTATTGATCCAAATAAGGTTAATATGCAGAGTTTGCTGAGCGGCTGCAATTAGTTGGACTCAAGTATGTTTTAATTAATGAGTAAAAGTGTATTTTCTTATCCTAAACACAAACGTGATTATATCTCTTTTATCAAATCATATTTTTATTTTTTTTTATTTTTATTTTTTTAAATGAGTAGAGCTACCCCACAATCTTTCCACATTTCCCCTGTCAGCTGCAAAATGTACCCCTGGTTGGAAATCACTGGTTTGATCTATAACAATCATTTTCATATGTTTTGTATGTAGATTTTTAAGCAGAATATTTACTAGTAGCTATATATATTTACAATTGTGATTTTAGATATGTCTTATTGTAACTCCGTAATTGGGAGTTGATTTTGTTAAAATATATCAAACTGTATTTCAAACTGTATTTTGTATGATGTAAAAAGTTAATTAAAAATACTTTCAACAGAAAAAAGGATATTGGCAGTACAGAAAAACCTCTGGAAAAGTTCCAAACAAAAACTAAAAGTTATTCAGTTATAACAGGTTTAAACCCTGGTTCACAGCCAGAACTCAAAGTACAAGTTTAGCAAGGCAGATACTCTGAGAAACTTTAACAGTTCTCAGCCAGCGACTCTGGTTCTGTCTGGGAGGGGCTCAGACAGACGACCAACTACCAACCTAAAACCCCCTCACTCCAACAGCGACTTGTGCCTGGCAAACAACCTGAATGAGTCCTACTGTCGCTTTGAAAGATAAAGGGACAGTCCTGATACCATTCAGTTCAGATCCTGATCCTGAAAAAGTCTTGAACACAGTATGACTTTGAATCTTGTTCAGATCTAGCAGGCAGAGACAGAGCCATTCTTTATGTGTTTATTTCCTCCCTCCAGTTTCTGACACTGTGGAAGCTCCAGGATGTCCTGCCTGTGGATGTGTTTGAGTCTGCTCTACGCTGCTTCTTTTCCACAAAGCAGTGCATCGGAGAAAGGTATTTTATTACCTGGCTTGTACTAAAAATAAATAGAACTACTGTACATTATGAAGTCAAAAAAGGAAGTCATGTAATTTTTTGCTCTTTTTATAAATTCAGGAGTGTCACTGATGTGCAACCAAACGGATGTTGAACCTGGAGGAACAGTGACACTAAACTGCACTATAAAGTTTAAGGTGGGCGACCGATGTTCTGTTTGTGGATATTCCTGGAATAACATACACGGCAGCCTGAATTGTACTGGTGACTCGAAATACAAGTGTGACTGGGATAATCAGACCTATGTGTCACTGACCATCTGGAATGTCACTAAGGAGGAAACTTACAGTGTTTCCATACACACAAACTGTGGTATTGATAACTCATCTATCAAAGTACAACTGAACTTAAAGCCTGGTAAGTAGTTTCTACTTCTAAACTAAAGGAGTGTATGTGTGCGCCATTATTATCCATTTCTACAAATTGAAAGTCTTTATAATGTACTTTCTATCTTGCCAGTTTCTGTGGGAGAAACAACAAAGCCTGAGGAGCCTGAGGAGCCTTCCAACACTCTTGTGTTAATCGCTGTATTGATTGTTTTCACCGCCATGGTTGTTTTTGGCATTTTGTGTTTCCTGTTACGAACTGAGAGATGCAAAAACATAATCAAAACCATCAAAACGGGAAATTCTCACGGAGCCTTCACACCGGAGAAAGAATGCTTCACTGAATGCTCGACGAGCTCTGAAAGTTTTGTTTAAGCATCTGTTCTGTTCAGTTATTCCTCTCCACAGCTGGCTGGGTTCTTTTTTTTTCTTCATCTTTGTACATATTGATAAATGTGAATATGATGATTTGATCTGGTTGAAGAATACTACTCAGTTTGTGAAAACCGTTGTATAAAGTCTTCTGGGGCTCTGATGGCAGCTCTCTTAATTCCAACAATCTTTTAACATTGTCAGGCTCACAGTGGGCAGTTTTTTTGTTTTGTTTTTTTAATATAAAAATGTATGCAACAGAACCAGAGATATCATCCCACCTCATTCCAGACATACGTCTTCCATGTCAAAACTTGGCAACCCACAATGCAACTCAACCGCAGACAGTAGCCCAATGTAGCCTCTAGTCTGTGACAGGAAGAGGAGTGGGCTACAGAGGTCTGCTAAGCTCACTCCTTTCAAACTCCAAGCCCTCAGATTATTTTCTTTTTCATTTTCAAACTTGTAACTCTGATGTGTGAAATTGACGTAGTTCTCCTTTAAAGCAGCAACCAGGAGCTTTCATTTTGTGGTGAATCTTGCGGCCCCTGTGGACAAAAGAGGGTAGTGTTTCTATCGCCTCGTTTCACTGATTTCCAGTGGGAATCCAACTGAATCCGACCCAGTGGCAGGCGTTAAGAATAACTACATAGAAATAACTAATCTTCTCGCTGATGTTCTTGTTTGTTTATGTAGCTCAGTGGTTCTCAAACTTTTTCATTAACGTACCCTCTTTGAAATATTTTTTCAGCCTAGTACCCCCTCACCAGTGCAAAAAGAGGTATAATACAGCGCAACCGTGTAACTAAAAAACACTTGAATGCTAAATTTCAAACATTTAGAATCCATTACTAAATTCATGGGCAAACAATGATCTCATTGTCTGTGGCAGGGAGGCATCTACAGAGATCAAACTCTTTTTGAATATAAAATCTGGTTTATCGAACATAGTATTGTAGTATCATTATTTGGGGAATTCTGCATCACAAATATTTTTTAAATTAACATAAAGAAAAAGAAAATCTCACGCATACCCCCGTTTGAGAAACACTGATCCGGGTCACTAAATTAAGACTTGGAGACGACAAGAAACTGCAATCATTATAACCTTAGTCTTTGAAACATGGGCATTTATCAAGCAGCGGAAGACTAATAAAAGACACTATTGGGTTGCATTGTGGGAAATAAAGAGAACCGCACTGATTTTTTATCACTTTTTAAAAAAATCTTACTCACAAGTCTACAACTTTATGGGTGTGCAGTAAAAGGCCTTTCAAAGCAACTCATTGTACAAAAAAGTAGACAGTAACTGTGATATTGTTGACTGTAAAATGAATGTTTGATATAATGTGTAGGATATACTGGGTGTTTAGATTATGACTAACTGAACCATGAGCAGGGGAACATATCTTTGAATAAAGTTTTGTCACTACCAAGCGCTTACGAGTCTTTGATCTGATGCAGCACAGCAGCCACACAGCTGATAAACAAGCAACAAGTATCACACTTCCTTTTGTACATCTCACATCCCCTTTTAAGTTCTCATGTGAACGTCTGTCAGTCAGTCACACTGAGGCGCCTCGGGCTGAGTCTGTGGTAGCCTGCCTGCAGCCCAGCTCACGGGATGAAAGCCCACTGGTGGAGCTGTGTGTTGGGATTACTCTACATGCCTGCTGGGGTAATACTCAGCCCCTGGACAGGTGAGTGTGTGTGTGAGAGAGAGAGAGAGAGAGCGAGAGAGTGAGAGTAAAATGTGCAAAAGATGGAAAGGTTTGGGTTTAAGATCCAAAAATATGAAGATGTCTTCAAAAGTGAGCCTGAGTCATCTTTTCCTGTTTGTTTGCAGCCTCATCCTGTTTGCCCTCTGTGTCTGTACATGCTGAAGTGAAAATGTGACTCTTACGTAAAAGTACCAATAAAACAATGAATTACAAGCAAAAATACTTCAGTCAAAATCTTACTTAATTAAAAGTAGTTTCACTAGCAAAATGTAGGAAATAGATGAGGTGACCGATACATTAAAGTGGGTCCTGAGAGAAATCTGAGGGGGTGATTAATGGAGCAGGTTCTGCTACACAGATTGGTCTTCTTTTTTTGGACTTTCATCTTTGCTCTCTGTAAAATGTGGAGTAATTTGACTTCTTTGGGCCCAATAAATAATGTATTTAAATGAAACCACATGAGAAGACTTTGGCAGAAGTGGTTACAACCCATAGACACCTGAAACGTTGGGAACCGGCGGTTTCATCTGTAACAACATATTGTGTTTTTTTAATGTAAAATCTGAATATGAAACTAACTATTAAAGCTGCAGTAGGTAACTTTTATCAAAATTATTTTTTTCCATATTTGCTAAAGCTTTTACTTTATCCCGACAGTAGTACATGGGACAGATGATGTGTGAAAAAAAATCCTCTACCTCTTCATACCAGTGTTGGTATTAGATGAATTTGACAAACAAGACTTGACAATCATCTTTCTCGGCTCTTACTGTTTTTGGAAAGTGCTGGATTTCACAGATTTCAGCCGATATGACAAGTTACCTACTGTAGCTTTAACTGTCTGATACATGTACTTGCCTTGTACTTTATTTTATTTACTTTCCAGCACTCTCTAAAACCATATATTTCTTTAGGAATTCCCTTTAACATTGGTGTTTGAATTGATCACTACAAATAACTTTTTGAAAGTTCTCACTGACATTATGACCTGCAAATGTTTATCTCCAAATATGGAGACTTCAGGTAACAATCCATCTCTCCTTGACAGTTTCTCAAGAACCCATGTCCATCTCTCTAATGAGAGTCAACTCATCTGCTGAGATCACATGCTCCACATCGTTGTCTAACCCGATGGGGCTCTACCTGCGCAGGGGTTTGCAAAACAACAAGGACATTATATACCTGAGCTTGGACAAGGGAAATATCAACAGGCATACCACAGCTGCAGAATTTAAAGGCCGAGTTCACATTGCTGACGGGGAGATCAAGGAGGGCAAAAGATTCACCGTGCAGCTGGCTCTGCTGGCGTTGGACGACACCAACTGGTATTACTGCAGCTGGGAAAACTTCAATTCAGAGACGGCAGAGACACAAACCCTGTCCAGCAATGGCACCATTATCATTGTCACAGGTGGAAAGAACCAAACCCGTCCTTTGAGTTCAAACATGCACAGTCGATTCATATTTTTTTTAAAAAGCCTTTAATTCACTTTTTGTCACAGATTTAACTTTCTTCCTCCATTTCTCCTCACAGAGCGAGGTCCCCAGGAACAATGCCAGACCCCCATTTGGGATCTCGTCTTAATTGCCTTGAGTGTGATAGCATTCACTGTCATATTATCCCTCGTCATCGGAGCTCTGGTCATGAGATGCAGAGTAAGTGCTACTGGAAGCAGATGGACCTGCTCTCATTATCATGCAAAGACAGCGCCATGGTGTTAATATGTTCTCTTCCTGTTTCTACAGTTTAGGAAGCACTTCAGGCCTGCCAGAGTTACGAGTCCACCCAGACCTCCCAGACCTCGGCGCGTCTGTCCCGAGCACCGTCCCTACTTAGTCACTTCTGTAAATACTTTGGACTACAGAGGGATCCTCTAATGCGAAAGAGTCGATGTGATGATGAAGATTAAAAAAGAAAAAATCAGTGTTGACATGTGTAAAATTGTAATAGATAATTCAGATGTGTTTTGAGTCAGAAGCCTAACCCCAGGCAAGGTGTCTCACTTTTTTGGTTTTTTCTCTTCTTCATTTCCTTTTATACAATTTTGTGTTTTGTTGAGTTACCACATCCTGGCTCATGTGTAGTGTACAGGTGTGATGGTGCATGTGAACAGTGCCGGGGAAGAAAAACTGCAGAGCCGGCACTTTTGTTGTTCTACTGTATGTGTTAAGTTACATGTGGTCTTGACCTGTTGCCTTTTGTGTCCTCTTCTCATATGTACATACATTAAAATCTAAGCTTCTGCCAACGTTGCTGTTCATTTGTAAGTGTTCTCTTAAAATACTAACACCAACAAAACAAAAACAAAAACAGCATTCACTTCATATTTCTGTGACACGACAAATTAATTCACACAGAAAGATAGGAAGATACTTATTTGGTACATCCGGTAAATGAAGCTGTGTGTATCTACAGATGTTCATGTTCCTCATGTGGAACCTACGTACTGAACTACGTTGCTGTACGGACCTTTGTTAGTGTAACACAAAGGTGCAGCCTTGAAAACAGTATAGTTATGATGATAATACTGTAACTATGTGATAAAGTTAATATTTGTATAATTAATTAAACGCGGGTCAAAATGCGCCAACGTAGCTAACTGTTAGCCTCAGTTAGCTAGCTGAGAACACGAAGCCTGTGAAAGTTTCCAGGAAAAGTTTTTCACCTTGGCTTTTGCTCTCAGTCCTGCTGCTCACTGCCCAAAGCTGCTGTTGGCTTTAACCAGACTGCTTGTGTGCAGCCAGGGGAGAGGATGATCGGCCATAAACTGCTGCTGCTGCCCGGGCTGAGCTTGTGGACTTCGGGGAGAAGTAGATGGATTAGTCGGCTTCGTGGTGGTGAGGCACTGTGTAACTGTATTATGCTTAAGTACAGTATGTACCTCTAGTACGTTTTCATGTATGGAGGCAACACACGCCAAACCCAGTACAAAATTGGGTCAATTATTATTTGCCTAAGTTGCCTTTCGACAAAGCTACATACTAACTTAAGTATACTTAAACCCTTTAACAGTGAGACTTCTCTTAGCAATTCGGCATATATCCAATGTATCTAGCAGCACTTATTGTTCAGCAAAATCTAATCTTGCACAACTTTCTGCCTTTTATCTTTTGTAGAAACACGCCATAGTGGTAGTAGTATAGTAGTAGTAACAGCGTTATGAACAGTGATAACCTTTGCTCTGGTTGTTTGTGAACTGCTCTTTCAGGGAGAATTATATTGCAGTGCCTCAATAAGAGGATTTATTAAAGCCCCCCCCCCACCCAAAACACAGTGTTTCTCCTTGTTCCTACAGTGTGCTGTTTGAATGCTGTATGTGCAGAGTTTGACACTAGAAGGATGTTTTCACATTCATCTGCTGACAGTGGAAAGTTTCTCTGTGCTCAGTGAACATCAGATTGTAAGGAGTGAGGCCTATAAGCATGATTTGTCACATCACAAACAATGTTGAAGCCAGTCCTGGTCTTATACAGGTGTGATACATGGCACTTACACTGAGAATGGACTTTACAGTGAAGTAGGACAGGGGTTCCCAAACCCGAAATCTTAGATGCTTTCGTCTTAAAGAATCCCCTGTGTGTATTTTTTGGGGTCTCAAGATTAGAAAATCCTCATAGTGAATTAATGATCAAACAGTTGTCAGTAGAAATTACAGTCAGTAGAAATGACCAACCCTATTTCTTTCCTTGTTCTGACTTCCAAAACATGTAATTAAAGTTAAAATCCTTCATTTCTCCTTTTGCCGGGGATCCCCTACAACCCATTCAAGGACCCCTGTTTATCCCCTGACCCCAGTTTGAAAACCAGTGAAGTTGGACACATCTTTAAGATGATAGATTAGATAGACAGAAAATAATCTTGAATTTCTAATGAGGTTGAAGGAATCCATCCCTTTTTTTAAACTTTTAATGTGGAAATTATACTTTTTTTATGGAAAAAACATCAAGCACACATTATTGTTCCAAACATCATTTGTACATGTCTTAATACATGATTCTGTAGGTATGAATGGGCGTGGGAAAGCACCCTTTTCATCATGCAGACCAAAGGTGTGCATTGTTGGCAGCGGTCCAGCAGGTTTCTACACGGCACAGCATCTGATAAAGGTATTTCATGTTTTTTTTCCATCACAGTAATATCATTGCGTATTGTCTTAATGATATATATCAGGATATGGTAGATTTTCTTGAAAATTACAAACTGTTAATGGATAATATGACGAGTTAAACACCTGAATCAAGGTACATCAATGTCTTTCTGTGCGCTGGTCCACCACTGTTTCAAGGTATATCTCGTCATATTGCCCAATCCTAACAGCCATTATGGCTTCTACCTTCATTTTTCACTACAGAATCACACTGTGATCCTTTTTAACTTTATCACATCTGCTCCACCATTATAGACCCTTTCTATATACCTTCACATTAACTGATTATTAATGAGTTTTATTGTAGTAGTATGTGGTGTCTTACTTTTTACAGACATTTTTTAGCAGTTATCAGCTATTATTATCATTATTTTGATGTAGATAGAAAACACTCGCAGTCTGTATCAGTGGCAATGCAGTGTACATTTCTTTCTTTATTGTATGTTTCAAATGATATTCAGGATTAATTCATTCTTATTTTAAAGGTAGTTATGTTTAAGACTTTTCAGCTTGGCATAGCATAAAATGTTTCTGGTGGTGTATTACTTTGTAGAATATTCTAAGCCCAAAATGTTCATTTGTGAAGGTAAATATTGGCTGCATGTGGTTTCTGCCTACAGGACCACCTTGAACAAATAATCAAGTCAAAACAGACAAATGGGTGTTAACCTCCCTACTGAATACCCCGCTGCACCTCTCCCACCCTGTGTGGTTGAACCTTGTTTACTCTCAGCTGATCGCTTTTAAATAGACGCTCATACCCTCGCAGGCCTGCTACAAGTAGGGCAGGAAATAACTTGCAGACGGCTTTGTGTAGCAAAAGTAAAGAAAAATTATTTTTGGGCCACTGCTCTGTAGACTGTGTCAGTACACATTTGATGATTTACATAGATACGTTCATTTAAAAGAATCAGCTAGCGTTTCTAGCCACATGCATTGTGAAAGCAGCAGGGGGGCTCTTTGAGGTTTTTTTGTGGGGTAATTCAAGTTTTTTTAACTTCCCAACACATACAGAACAGAATATAACAGAAAGAGGGCTGCAATGGTTAATCGGGTTAATTAATTAGTTGTCATCCAACGATTTTGACAACTGATTTATCCATTTGAGTATTTCTTTAAGTCAGAATTCTCTGATTTCAGCCTATTAAATGTGAATATTTTCTGGTTCCGTCAGTCTTCTGTGACAGTATATTGATTATGTTTGATTTGATGATGTCACCTTGGGCTTTGGGAAGCACTGATGGACAGATTAGAATCACTTACCCCACCTCTAACTGAACACCTGGACTTAACCACTATGACTTTCCTTACAGCCTCTCCTAAATTTGAATTAACATACATTATTATTTGAGAAATCCTTAATAATTTCTCTTTTTATGTCTAGTCTCTTCAGCAGGTTTATTGGATACAGCCGTGCTAGTAGCTCTGTGAGCTTGTACTCGGACGCAGTGTTGCTTTGAGCTAAATGCTAATATACTCACAATGACAATGCTGACATGGCGATGTTTGGCAGGTATAATGTTTGCTGCGTACACCATCTTTGTTTACTAGGTTTCCACGTTAACATTAGCATAAATAAACCCAAGTATTTAAGTAATTTTGAATTGAATTGAATTTTACATGTTGTTTGTCTCTCTCTCCTTTTCAACCTCCCAGGCCCGTCCAGATGTTGACGTGGACATTTATGAGCGGTTGCCCGTCCCCTTTGGCCTGGTCAGGTTCGGGGTGGCCCCTGATCATCCTGAAGTCAAGGTCTCTAATCCTAAAAAGACACATTAGCAGTGCTGGGCAGTATGACCAAAAACTGCTATCACAGTAGTTTTTAAGATCCTGGCGGGTGCATGGTGTATCACTGTATTTTTTATTGTTCTTTTTGCATGGCTGGTCCTTAATTTTGTTTTTTAATGGTTTATTCTTCTGTCAGGAGCACATAGACTATGCAAATATTTTAATGTCATCATGTATATAGTGAAAGATTACTATAGGGTCTCTTGGCCCCACACAATGATACTATATATGAAAAAAACCGAAAGGAAACCATTTTTACTCAACTCAGCATAGTAAAAACAGAACTGTATATAAAGATATGCCAACAACTTTAACATTGCTTCAACTGAGATAAAATACTCATACATAGTATTTGAAGAGATTTCTTAAATATCTCTTTGAATAAATTAATGTTACACAAGAAACAAATGACATACAGCAGTTGTTTCATATGAATAATTCTTGTCATGTAGGAAATCAAAAACCTGTATACTGGTTCGTCTGGTGTATCGCTCAGCACTGCGTGATAGTGAACAGATAATTATCCGGAATTATTTGGGTATTTACAGCATAAAACAGGTCTCTCGGGTTTTGAAGGGCTAGCTGCATTGGAGGCTGTTTGCTTTGGTCAAGAAGAACCTCAGTCATAACCCTAGACAAACTTGTGTACTATTGTGTGATGAAAGTTTCGTTTTTCGTTTGTCTGTGTGACAAAACCCTGGCACGAACAATCAATCTGTCAAAGCTGGAGGTTGGGACTTTTGTATGTGAATGAACAGCCCTTGCCAAACAAGTTCACACAGTGCTGGTTAGGCCTGTCACTGCCAGATAAATATCTCTGTACTTTAAAGTAAAAGTTTTAAACCAAAATGATTGGTTTGCCAGAGCTCAAGGGGGCAGCAATCCTAACCAGCCAGTGGTTCCCAACCTTATTCCTTAAGGGACTCCTTTTCTATCACTGAGTAAACTGACGACCCCTGACTAAGTGATAGAGTACAATTAACAGTGTATTCACTGACCACAAAAAGCTAATGATTTGGATGAATTTAATCAGATTATTTCTTTCTATTTCTATTTATTTTTTAACTGATCGGTATCGGCTAAATTGAGCTTTATAAATCCAATCGTTTGTTTTGCATCAGCTGTCACATAGCTGTTTTTACTTGTGGTGAGCACGGGAGCAGCCCCACCCGACACAACAAATCAAGTGCAAAAAGTCCCACGAACAAAAAGCCAATAACAATAATTCATTCATGTAATCCACACAACAGATGTAGAGACAGTTCGTTCAGGGAATTCGGGTAAAGGCTGCACAGAAGCAAACACTGAAGACA